AAGGGCATTCAGTACCGAAATTAAAAAGTAGCCAGTGTTAGGCAGAATTCTTGTTCTTGAAGGTGACATTTGTAATGACTTAAAATATCAGCATCCTCAATTCAGTAAATAAGGATTCTGAAAACTACCATGTTTCCCTGAAAATAAGACAAGGTCTTATTTTCTTTTGACACTTGAAATAACCGCTTGGACTTATTTTAGGGGAGGTCTTATTATTTTTGAGATGCAGGAGGCAGCGAGCATAGTCACCTCATGGCTGCTGCTGTGTTGCAATATTTTTGGGGAGGGCTTATTTTAGCGCATTAGCTCAAAAGCCCGATTGGGCTTATTATCCAGGGAGGTGTTATTTTCAAGGAAACAGAATAAAATTACTAAAACAGGGGCTGGCAACAGCATTCCCTTAGAGCAGGAGTGTCAAGCTCGCAGCCCAAGGGCTGGATGCGTTATGCGCTGGCCACCCCATTCCTGGTTTAGCGATACATCGCATGATGACAATGTGATGCCACAAATTTGACATTCCTACCCTAGAGATTCAGAGATTCATGATCCTATTAGTCTTTCACAAAGCATGGAAGACGTGGAAGTCTTCCTCCAGATTTGAGTCAGAAGGTTAGCTGAATTCTGTTGTTACTGATGTGTTTTTTTTTAATCAACGGAGACACTGTTCACCCTTGAGCAGTGGGCTTATGGTTTTCAAGTTTTTAAATCTTGTATGCGAGCCACCTGTGTGAGATGGGCAGTCATATAAATAAATAATAACCTGTATGCAATCCTAAAATCTATTCTTCAGTTTCCAAAACACAGCTTCCTAGAGCATACTCCACATTTTAAAGTCAGGATGACTTCACCCATTTTTTTTAAGAAGACGACTGCATCTCTTGGAAACAGGTGTAATAAACACATTTGGTTGTGTGGTTGTGCGCTTCCACAATAAAGGATGTGTGGCAAGACTTCTTTGAGAAACACATACTCTTCATGACACATCTACTAAAGAAATGATTTCACAGGAATTTAATATTTGGCTTCTGCCACCTTAGAACAACTTCAGTACTACTATTAGATATATGCATATATGTGTGTACGAGTATCACATACATACATACAAAGTTTACTTTAGTCTCTATTCTCAATTTATGAATTTTGGCTCAGGGAAATTCTGGAGCTTTTCGTGTAACATTTTTACAAAAGCAAAATGCAGATTCATTAACTAATATTTTGGATTACAAAAAGTGGATTTGTGTTTCAAAAACAGGAACTGTTTCTTGTAATAATAAACTTTTTAATAAAATGTTAAAAATCCACAGAAATATAAGCATCTGCAGAGAAGAGCCTGTTTTGCCAGAAGAACAAGTAAAACCTGTGTTTGTTCAGTTGCTGTTGAAGCTGCAATGAGGTCAAACAGAACAGGAAAAAAGGGAAGAGCAAGCATTTATGAAAACTTCTAAGTTCTGATAGGGTGATGCAGCAGGACATCAAGAATTAATGCCAAATGTGAACGCTGTTTTATTTCAAATCCAAGTGCCAGTATGGTCTTTTCATAACTTGATGTGAAAACCTCTTCTTCTCTAAGACTGAATTAACTTTGTCAATAATTGCGCAGT